CACTGGCATTGTTTTTGCATGTGTGTGTGATTCCTGACAAGTAACTGCTTCCCAAGCTGTCATTAAAAAAAAAAAAAAAACAAAACAGGTCTTCAAAGGAAAATATTCTAAGAAAACATCTGTGTGTTTTAAATCCCTAGAATAGTGGATATTGATAGAGTAATTTAAAGAACGAGTCGAGCTCTCATTAATGCTTTCGGAGAATCCTAGTCTGCGCCTGGCTGGTCCACTTCATGAAGAGCCAGGCCTTTGGTGGTGGTGCTGGTTTAGTCACTAAGTTGTGTCTGACGCTTGCGACCCCGTGGACTGCAGCCTGCCAGGCTCCTCTGTCCATGGGATTTCCCAGGTAGGAATACTGGAGGGGGTTGCTATTTCCTTCTCCAAAAACTTTGGGAGGGAGGGAAAGAAAACTCACCATAGATTGACCAACCATTTCTCTGAAAATTGCCTGAGAGACTTGAGAGTATTTTTCTTCTTGGTAGGACAAATGTCATTTTAAAAATACCCTGTTTCATCACAGGAAACCTTTGGATTCTTAGTAAGGAGACTTGTTTTGAAGATTTCTTACTGAAAAAAAAAAGCTAATTATTGCTAAAACTCCTCTAGAGATATTTTACTTTTTAAATCCTTCTTTTTCTGTAATTAAAGTTTATGAGTAAAAAGGTTTACTCACTCTAAAAGGCAGGTTTCAAATGTAAATGAGGCCAGGTTACATTGGGACTTCTGATTTTCAGGTGATCTGCAGAATTGTTGCTTTAAACTCAGGAGCTAAGGAGGACACTGTTGGGCATGTTTATTGGTGATGATCTCCTGGCGGAGTAAATGGCAACCCACTCCAGCATTCGTGCCTGAAAAGTCTCAGGGACGAGGGGCCTGGCAGCCTACAGTCCTTGGGGTCGCAGACAGTCAGACAGTTGAGAAGCTGAGCGCGCAGGTGTGTTGGCGATGACGCCCTGGGACAGCCGCGGAGCACAACAGATGCACCATGATGAGATGCCATCCCGTCTAAGGAGAGACAGTGTGATGCAGCCGTTAAATTCATGGCCTTCTAAGCCTTATCAGCATGGGTTGAAACCCAAGAGTGTTGGCGATGATGCCCTGGGACAGCCGTGGGACACAACAGATGCACCGTGATTAGACGCCATCCCGTCTAAGGAGAGACAGTGTGACGCAGCAGTTAAATTCTTGGCCTTCTAAGCCTTATCAGCATGGGTTGAATCCCAAGCGTGTTGGCGATGACGCCCTGGGACAGCCGTGGGACACAACAGATGCACCGTGATTAGACGCCATCCCGTCTAAGGAGAGACAGTGTGACGCAGCAGTTAAATTCTTGGCCTTCTAAGCCTTATCAGCATGGGTTGAATCCCAAGCGTGTTGGCGATGACGCCCTGGGACAGCCGTGGGACACAACAGATGCACCGTGATTAGACGCCATCCCGTCTAAGGAGAGACAGTGTGACGCAGCAGTTAAATTCTTGGCCTTCTAAGCCTTATCAGCATGGGTTGAATCCCAAGCGTGTTGGCGATGACGCCCTGGGACAGCCGTGGGACACAACAGATGCACCGTGATTAGACGCCATCCCGTCTAAGGAGAGACAGTGTGACGCAGCAGTTAAATTCTTGGCCTTCTAAGCCTTATCAGCATGGGTTGAATCCCAAGCGTGTTGGCGATGACGCCCTGGGACAGCCGTGGGACACAACAGATGCACCGTGATTAGACGCCATCCCGTCTAAGGAGAGACAGTGTGACGCAGCAGTTAAATTCTTGGCCTTCTAAGCCTTATCAGCATGGGTTGAATCCCAAGCGTGTTGGCGATGACGCCCTGGGACAGCCGTGGGACACAACAGATGCACCGTGATTAGACGCCATCCCGTCTAAGGAGAGACAGTGTGACGCAGCAGTTAAATTCTTGGCCTTCTAAGCCTTATCAGCATGGGTTGAATCCCAAGCGTGTTGGCGATGACGCCCTGGGACAGCCGTGGGACACAACAGATGCACCGTGATTAGACGCCATCCTGTCTAAGGAGCGACAGTGTGACGCAGCAGTTAAATTCATGGCCTTCTAAGCCTTATCAGCATGGGTTGAAGCCGACATCACCAGCTTTCTGGCCTTGGGTCAGTTCTCTGTCCCTGCCAACTTTGTTGTTCAGTCACTCTGCCGTGCCAAATTCTTTGAACTCTACGGACTGTAGCCCGCCAGGCTCCTCTGCCCGTGGGTTTCTCCAGGCAGGAGCACCGGAGTGGCTTGCTCTTTCCTCCTCCAGGGGATCTTCCTGACTCAGGGGTCGAGCCCATGTCTCTTGCATTCCCTGCATTAGCAGGCAGATTCTTTATTCCTGGGACACCTGGGAAGCCCCTTTAATTCTATTATATGAAATGTGAGAGTGAAAGTCGCTCAGTTGTGTCTGACTCTTTGCGACCCCGTGGACTATAGAGTCCATGGGATTCTCCAGGCTAGAATACTGGAGTGGGTAGCCTGTCCCTTCGCCAGGGGGTCTTCCCGACCCAGGAATCGAACCAGGGTCTCCTGCATTGCAGGTGGATTCTTTACCAACTGAGCCACCAGGGAAGCCCATTGTATGAGATTAATAATAGCAATCATAGGACCGTTAGGAAAATTGCAAAAAATAATATTAAAGGATTTAAATTTTTGCCTGATGCATAATAAAAACTCAGTGAATGTTACCACTATTATTGAGGGGTAAAAGGAAATTGATATGTGGATCATTTCATTCACTTCTGAAATTCCCCGTTCCTATGTCTTTCTAGTGCAAACAGTGGGATTCATTTGCCTGTATACATACATGTTTGAGTAAATAAAATGCATGTTTTTCTCTCTGCAATAAGATTACAGATGTGGGGGATGCTTGCTGGGGATGTGGGGTGGGGGGGAGGGCACTTGTGGCTCCTGGGGGTGGCTGGGGGAAGCGTGTGGTTTCTGTTCTGTCCCCTGGTTGCAGCGGTGTTTACGTGAATCTACACGTGGCAAATGGGGTCCAGCTATACACTGACATTGTACCAGGGCCCCGGTTTTGATATCGTATTGTTGTTTAGTCACTAAGTTGGGTCTGACTCTTTTTTGACCCCATGGACTGTAGCCCACCAGGCTCCTCCATGGGGTTTCCCAGGCAAGAATACTGGAGTGGGTTGCAATTTCCTCCTCCAGACGATCTTTCCCACCCAGGGATCAAACCCACATCTCTTGTTAGCAGGTGGACTCTTTACCACTGAGCCACCAGGGAAGCCCTGGTGTTATAATATATCACAGCTATGTAGATAGAACTATCAGAGTGAACAGTGGACAGAATGAGTGAATGAGTGAACTGCATGAATGAGTGAATGGAACTCACTCAGTGAATAGAACCATCAGAGTAACTCAGTGACTGGTGTGCTGGACTTCTTTGTCCTGATTTTGCAATGCTGTGTAAATCTGTAAGTGCTTCCCAATAAAAAATTAAAAAATCAAGAGCATCTGTCAAGAACTTCTGCCTTTACCATATAATTACAGTATGCAAATCTCACACTGAATCTCAGGTGATCCCACTGGAGTTCTTGCATAAACTTTGAAGTTAGACTTTAAATATAACTCTTTGGGAATTTCCTGGTGGTCCAGTGGTTAGGACTCCAAGCTTTCACCACCAGGGGGCTCAGGTTCGATCACTGGTCCAGTAACTAAAATCCCAAAAGCCTCCCAGTGCAGTTTAAACAAACAAACAAAAAAAAAAACCCAAAACAACAACAAAACAACACTTTTCAGTGCGTCTCTTTCCCCCTGGTGACCTCACCCTCAGCCAGTTCACTCCTGCACTGCGCGTGTGCCCAGTTGCTCAGCCATGTCCGACTCTCTGTGACCCCATGGCCTGCGGCCTTCCAGGCTTCTCTGCCCATGGGCTTCTCCAGGCAAGGACACTGGAGTGGGTTGCCATGCCCTCCTCCAGGGGGTCTTCCTGACCCGGGGGTCCATCCTGCGTGCCCTCTTAGCAGGCGGATTCCTTATCACTGAGGCAGCTGGGAAGCCTGCATTACATGTGCACAAAGAGGTAGGGAAATGTGCCACGGACAGGATTCCTAAAGAATGCAAAACTTTGGTCATCTGTGATGCTAAGATATTCACAATTAATAATGAAGAGTAGAATTAAGCAGGTGGATAGGTATTTCAGTCTACATCCCACCAGCATCTGCTAGGACGTGAGCATATTGTTAAAGTCCTCTGGGGATGGAGAAGTAAGGCAGATTAATATCAGCTCACAGCTTGGAAGTCTTAATATGATGCTGCTAATAAGACACAGCTGAATAACAGGAAGACCAGGCATCCTTAATTTAGGTGACTGCGTAGCTGTGCCCTCAGTAGCTCAGCCAATGCCCAGACCAGTCAATGTTTATGGATGAGTGAGTGAGTGAGTGGATGGATGGATGATGGATGGATGGATGGATGGATGGATGGATGGATGGATGGATGATGGGGCCATAAGATAAGCCATGCAAAAGAAGCTTAAAAGTAGGAATGAAGAATTAGTTCACTTTTGTGGGGAGATAGGAGGGATATATATATATATATATATATGGATATATGTAAGGATAGGAGGGAGGGAAAGGGGTTATCATAGGATGATATGAACTCATCTATGTGAAACTTTTGAAAATTGTAAAGCACTCTAAAGTTTAAAGACTCTTTTATTCAATTAAAAAATAAATTAAAAAATCTCAGTTAGGGACTTCCCTGCAGTCCAGTGGTTAAGACTCTGTGCTTCCACTGTAGGGAGCACCAGTTCAATCCCTGGCCAGGGAACTAAGATCCCACATGCTTCATGGAGAGTCCAAAAGGAAAAAAAAGAAACAAACAAAACCCACTCCAAAAAAACCCTTAATTAAAAAGCTAAAAAAAATAAAAATAAAATGTATGATAGAAAAAGGAAATTAGTCCACCTTTGCAGCTGAGGACTTGAGGTGACACAGCCTGCCCGGGAACCTCCTAACCCTTCTCTCTCTGCTCCTCTAGGCAGCTTGAAATCCACTCTCCAGATGCTAAGCACACAGTGGTCCTCAGAGGCAAGGACTCTGCCACAGCCCAGGCCTGGTTCAGCGCCATCCACGCCGCCGCCCGGGACCTGATGGCCCGCGTGATCACCGAGGCCCGGGAGCAGCTGGGCTCCACGGGCCTTGCTGGGGGCCGGGAGATCAGGCACCTCGGCTGGCTTGCAGAAAAGGTGAGGAGACACTCCCATCCAGGCGTCCTCCCCAGGCCTCCCCAGCGTGCGCTGCAGCCCCTGAAGTCGGCGCCTCATCCCACAGGCTGAGCCTCTCACTCGGATGTCTTGTCCGTGTCCAGCAGGTCTGCATCACGCAGGGCTGTGTGTCTTCAGCAACTTTGATTCCCCCACAGACAGTCCAGTATGTGGTAAAATGCAGGTGGTCACCCACTGGCTATTGTCTGGATGGATGAGTGAGCAGGCAGCCGGGCAGTTTGGTTCTCATATGTACATGGGAAGGGGAAGGGCAGGGGCAATAACTCAGAAGCACAATAGAACCGTCTCCTTGGCAGGTAAGGAGGTGAGAATCATTGCTTTAAAAAGGTATTTGTGTGGGTTTTGATGGACCTAACTGTTAACACAGATAGTTTGCAAATAAAGCAATAGTAATCTTGCCGCTAAGATCCTCTGGACAGAGGAGCCTGGTGGGCTCCGTAGGGTTGCAGAGTCAGACAGGACTGAGCGGTTTAGCGCACACACGCACCAGTGATAGTAACAGCGAAGATTAGAGCGACTGCTCTGTGCGCGTTCTTCTCAGATATCATCTTTTATTCGTACTCTTAAGCCAGCAGGCTCTGAACGTCATCATTTCTGAACACCTGTTTTGTGCAAGCCACAGTGCTGGGCAGGAGGGGGACAGGTGTGTAGACATGAATGCAGGGAGGGCAGCTGCAACGGGAGGGACCCAGGGTCATGGCAACACTGGCACTCTGATTTCTTTTCCCAAGGGATGTGATATGTTGAAGATCATGAAACTCACTTTGCAGCAGTCTCCTGGGAGTTAACCATCCTCTTGATTTCAAAGCATTAAGCCTTTGCCATTGTCCTAACACCTGATTGCTGTTCCTTGAACTTGACCGTGAGTGCTCAGGAACAGTGGGCTTTGGGGACAGTCTGACCTCCCAGTGACTCACATTCTAATAAGTGGTAAAAGGGAATAATGATTGTTGCAATAACAGCCTTCCTGCCAATGAACCTGTCATCTGAGAAGGCCTGGTTCAGTGGCACTTGAACAGGGCATCTGGCTGTTTTCCACCATTGTTCTTTGTTTGCATCAGTTCATGTGTGGGTCCCAGCCACCGACTTCAACACAAAGTGTGCTGTTTGCTGTGGCATTGTCCCATCTCTCGCAGATTGTGAAGGACTAAAGGGACAGTGCAGGTGGTGGTGACACCGAGATCATAATAAACAAAAGCCACAGGTCGTGTCTCGTGACCAGATGTGTGAGGCTTCTTGGTGAAAACAGCACTGCAAAGCTGGACGGCAGTGTTTTAGAAGTCACAGCCTCTCACCCTCTCCAATTTTACTCTCTCCAATCACATGTGTTTGTTTTAGGGGCAGTCCTGTTAGTCTGGGATCTTTCAGTTGCAAGTGACAGAAAGCTCAACTCGGCTTGAGCACAAAAAAGGGGACCTGGCACTTCTGATAACGACAGTGTCCAAGGGTGAGCTTCAGGAACGGTGGGCTCCAGGGCTCACAGAAGGCTAACGGGCCTGCGTCTACATGTTTTTGCACCCTCTCCACTTTGTTGGTTTATACCCTAGCAAGCGCCCTTTTCTTTGGCCCAAGAGTTCCATCTTTGTCTGGGTGTTTTTTGTTTTGTTTTTATAACTGGCTGCCTCAGTGAACAGAAGACTCTTTGCTCTCATATTTCCAACAAAAGTCCTAAGTCAGCCTTATCTAAACTGTGCCCCGATGGATAAGGAAAGGTAGTTCTGAAATGGAAAAGTAGGAGACAGTGCAAGAAAAAGACTGAATGGATTCTGGGGAAGCAAAAACAACAGACATTTGCTGTAGAAGGGAATGGGGAGGAGTTGATCAGAACGAAAAACATCTTTACTGGGCTAGGATCCAGAGTGGATACAGGGATGTGCTGTGTATGTTAGGGTCCGGCAGGAAATGGATGGCAAACTCAGAAGGGGTGACTGGACGGGATTCAACACAGCGACAGCTTATGAGTGTGGCCGAGACAGAGGAAATCAGGAGCTGAGCGGTAAGAGGTCACTGCCACCCTTTACCCGGAAGTGGCCAGGAAGAGGAGCAGCTACCTGACGCTAGCAAGACGTGCAGCTCTGGAAGAGGGCCACTCGCTGCGAGCTGTGGTCTCTTCGCAGAGGGACCATCCCCCTGAATCCCTGCCTGCTGATCTCCTGCTGGTGTCTGCCTTGGGTTGAGGCTGCCTGGAAGCCAGAGGCAGGGGCCACAGACGCTCGGTTAAGGTCAGCCTCCCTGCTGCCCGAGCGGGGCAGCAGATGGTGGGGCCTGGCTCTGGAGGCAAGGGGAGGCTGTCCAGCACACACATCCCTGCACCTCGCAAGTGACCAAGATGCGGTCAACTCTAGAAGGTACTGTTCTCTCATCTCTTTTAGCACCAACTACAATTAAAACCATTACCATTTGGATAGTTGAAAAATAGTTATTATGTCGTTAGTAGTGATATTAGCATTTTTTCCAAAGGTTCCATTTTCTCACTTATAAACTGTCTGCTTATGCCTTTTGTTTATCCCAAATTATCCGTAGACCCATTAAGCATTCCAATGAGCAGTCATAAAGGTGCATAAAAAGCGCTCTGGTTTTAGAATATTGTTGTTCTTTTGATGTACTTTCAGATCATCAGGTGTTTCTTTAAATTGTATCATGCATTATGCCCATAAAAGCAATCAGTAACGACTTATCATGGATAATTATCAGAAGGGAGAATGTCTTTTATTGCCTTCATCTTCAAAATTTCTTAAAAGATTACCATAGATCAAGTCCAAGGAAGCAAATCCAAACTGGAATTTTTTTGAATAAATATTTGATACTGAATTCTGATGTGGAGACATAAGAATGGTTTTTAGCAAAATGTTACAATGAATGGCAAATCCTTAATACTGTGGCTTTCTTATATTACCACAAATATCAGAGAATTCACTTGGTATTTGTAAAGATATAAAGTATGATCCTATATATATTCAGCTGTAATTTATCTTAAATTGATAGCCTTTGTCTTTTCCTATGCTGTTAATCTTTGATTTATTTTTTTTTTGGACTAATAACAGTACTCCAGGACAAAGTTTGTACATATTATATTCAATTTCAAGTTTTTAAAACTGGCATTTACATGAACTAAAACAATAGGAAGCAACAACAGTTTCCCTTCTAAAATTCTTTTCAGTGCAAATCCTCAAGCTTCCTCTTCACTACACAGAAGGAAAACTTTGTATTAAAGTTACTCTTTACAGTGAGGTGATCCAGGGACCTGAAGAAATGATCGTGAGTTAGTGGGGAGAACTCAGTCATGCCCCGAGGAGAACGAGCATCAGAGAAAGGGAGGTGATGGCTTCTGGTGGCGCTGGGGGTAAAGAGACCCGCCTGCCAGTGCAGGAGATGGAAGGGCCGCGGCTTCGGTCCCTGGGTCAGGGAGATCCCCTGGAGGAGGGCGTGGCAGCCCACTCCAGTATTTTGCCTGGAGACCCCAATGGACAGGGGAGTCTGGCGGCCTATGGTCCGTAGGATCACAAAGGTCGGGCACGACTGAAGCAACTTGGCACTCAGAGGCTTCCACTTTGTAGGGAGGGCAGAGCAGAGACTGGTCTAAAGGGAAGTGGGGTTATCCTGAGGAAGGTGATGAGAAAATCTGGTACCTTGGGTGGCTCCCAATTGTGGAAGGTCTTGAAAGCTGGACAGATGGTTTGAATTTGATTTGTTGGCCATAAGAAATCTTCATATACATAGTCAGAGAGAAGGGAATGTAGAGGTGACCTCCCTGGATTGAATGTTTGTCTCACCTCAGAATCTGTAGACTGAAGCCCCAATTCCTAATGTGACGGATTTGAAGGTGGGGGCATTGGGAGGTCATGAGGTTTAGATGAAGTCGTGGAAATGGGTGGAGCTCCATGATAGGGCTGGTGTCCTAAGGGATGAGGACCCCAGAGCAGTGTCTCTCCACCCCACGAAGATGCATCAAGCAGGGAGCCTTCTCCAAGCCAGGGAGACGACCCTCACCAGAACCCCGTGTTGGCACCCTGGTCTTGAAGTTGCAGCCTCCAGAACTGTGAGAAATAAGTGTTTGTTCTTTAAGCCATCCAGTGTATGATAATGTATTCTAGCAGCCTGAACCAAGAGAGTGATCAAACACGCCTCTTCTTTCTAAAGATGAGGGATCTGGGACCTGGAAAATGGAAGGTCTCTTATTTACGGCCACAGTCTAATAAATCAAGGTACAGGAATAATGAGTGAATGGGACAATGCTGTGGTTTCATTGTCTCCTTTATTTAATTTGTAAAGAGTCTAGTGCAGCTCTTTCATCGCGGTCACTTCGCCTCTCCCCTTGGACTCTGGCGGCCGTTCCCTGAGCCTGCTGCAATCAAGGTCAGCCACGCCGCCCCCCAAATGGGGCCGTTACTGAGTCCCCTTGACATCCTTGGGCCTGTGAGCTGTGGGCCGTGGTGACGGGGCCGCTGCTGTCCCCGTGGGTACTGTCATCTGTAGATGGGCCAGGTGCACCAACAGAAACATCTTTCCCGCCATCAAATTAGTCTCAAACCGTTTAACTCCTTGCAAGCCCCGCTTGCCCCATAAGTGCTCATCTCTACCCTGAACTATAAAACACATTATACCCCAAATAAATTTTTTGAATCATCATTCTTTAGGTAGTCTTTTTATGGTTATTACTGAGGTGTCTTTAATGGTCCTATTTTGGACAAAAGAAAAATAAAGAGAAAATAAAACAAAGATTAATAAAGGAAAAATAAACAGAAAAAAATTAAGTTCTGACTCGCTACTTAAAAACACAGTAATATGCAAATACATGGCAGAATTGTTAAATTCTGTTTTGTGCTCAGTTTATCAGGTATTGTCTTTACTTTTGTTATCTCAGTTTGCAAACTATTTCTTGTCATATTAAAAGCAAAACAAAAATACAACATGGTTTAAAAAAAAAAATAACCCAGTTGAGAGCTCTGAGATGCAGTTCA